AATACCTAATTATTTCCATGCCACGGATGGTAGAAGAAACTAAGCACAACTAGAGTGTCTTTCCTGTCTCAGTTCCCATCTGTTGCAGAAAGTGCTGTCTATTCAACTCTAAAAGATGCACCAATTTCAGGAGGAAAAAAAATTACCCTATTTAGCAACCCATTTCACTAGTAATTCTGGGATCACACAGTAAACAGGGCATAAATCTCAGCTCAATGGTAATTTCTTCTAGAAAGGTTTCCCAATGCAGATCATCCTCCAACTAAGGACAAGCCTGTGACAATGCTAGCATATATTTGGGCTTACTGTATACCTGTTCACCCTGTCTTTTATTAATGTAATAGTATCTTGTTCTTTACTAGGCATGTATTTAGCTCTGCATCTAATGAAATTCAACAAATACATGCCACTGACTCCACACATAGCTTATTTAGTGAATTTTCTTTGCTAAATTAATAAGACATTTGTTATTTCTCTGATGAAGTCATTTTTCATTGTAATCCTAAACACATCTAAAGAAAGAAAAAGATCTCATGAAATAAATTAAGAAACCGAGCTGAACTATATTTTACTATCTTATAAGCCTAAAAATTTTGAACGACCACTGATGCAAGGAGGGACCACATCAGCATCCCAGAATTTACCTACCAGCATACAAGACAATTCTGACCCTGCCACCGTTCTATTCTCCTGAGGGCTCATTCTTACTGAGTCATCAGGCCTGCTGCATGCCTGGCTATGGCTAACCACTTAAGAACACATCACCTAGCTATCAACAACATATCATTTTACATGTCAAAATTATTTTGAGGATTGTCTGTCTCAATGTTGCTCTCCATTACAGTATAAAATTGAGAGTAGGCCTGTACAAACTATTTGCTTAAAGCAGTTAATTATGTATTGATTCCACAAACTTTCACTTAAATGTTTCTAAATGTAATTTGAATAACAAATTGTGATTTATAAATTCAGAACAACTAAGACTTCAAACTAAGCTTGTTCATAGTAAAAAGACAAAAAATCCATTTTCCTGCAGAAGACATTTATTTAAGTTTACATACTTAAGATATACTATTAAGTTTGTATTTTATCATGGATTATAATGTTGTATATGTTAGTTACTATGCTATATCTCCTTACCAACTACAAATTAGAAATAATAAGTAGTAAAGAAAATCCTTGTTTTAGATAAATAGCCAAGCTATCAGAATAACTACAATTCTATGCTTTTATATATCTTATGATTTTAACTACCACATCAAGGCCACAAGACCTGAGTGCAAATCCTGACTCTATGGCTTGTGCCAGTAGGCAATTTATTAATCTTTTAAGATCTTAATTTAATTATGTGTAAAGATGAGAATACCACCAACCCTATTCAGACTAGTATAAAGAAATAATAATGCAAAATGTCTAGGACAGCCAACGGAATATATTCAGTAGGTTTTCCCAAACTTTGGGACTAAAAATCCAGGTCTCCAAAATACTCAAAAGCTTTATTCACTATGCATACGGACTTGTCTAAGTCTTGTAAAATGGCATAAATATACTATACTTACTAATGTAAATTATGTAAAGGCACATAAACTGTAACTGTATTGCATCATCAACTGGTCTCTGTGAGGTTAATATGCTGTAATACAATCCATTATTTTGTCATACTAATTTTTGTTTATTTTAGAATTTTGTAGGGTTCAGAAAAAATGGGTTAAAGTGGTCCTGGATAATCTGTAGCCCTTTTAAAACAAAATAACATCTCCCAGAAAACTAAAATTGTTATTTTCTTTTTCTTTTCATGTATGTCTTTGGAGCAAGCAGAGGCATTTGAAATCAAGTACTGCTCCTTCTTCAAAACAGAGTCTAGAATATGAGAATATACTGCCAGTGAATATGTGGAACGTTTAAAGACAGACCAGTCTCCTACATCTTGCCTTCTCATTCTGTTTGCTCTCATCCACCAACATCATTAGGTGCAAGGTGAAAGGTGTGTATCAAAGGAAGAAGGAGGTGACATAACACTTTGCTTAAGTGACAATGGAGGTGTTTACAGATTGATATAAATACCAGTGCTGTAGCTTCTGTTTGTTTTCAAAGAAACCAGCTGATTATTTTGCCAGTTCTCCTTTTTCTGATTTACTTAGTGCCCATGTCGGACTCTGATATAGATCCCAAGAATGAGGAGATAATAACAGAAGTGAGTGAAGTATAGGTAGAAAGCAATGAGTTGGGAAGCATTAAAAGTAAACACTGCCTGGGTAAGATTTTCTCAATTTCACATTTGCCATTTATATCACTAAAATAACAGCATCTTTAATTTTAAGTCAACCATAGATCAATGAAAACTCAATTTTATAGTTTTTTTCTACATATTCAATGTCAGAAAAATTGTGTAGTGTTTATGACATTTTACCAGATGGGCTAATAAAAAAATTTAATAGGAAGTAACAGAGGGTACAACCTAAATTTTATTTAATACATTCATACAATGATTTTACATCCGTATTTAAGTAACTGAGGAAAATCAGAGCTTATGCTATCTAGACTTAGGTACATATGTATAAATTTCCACTCTTGAGATATGAAATCTTCTTAATCCTCATAAATCACACTTAAAAAATTTAGTCATATCTATCAATCTGAGACAAATTCAAGAAAACTGTAGACTATTTAATAATTCTCTGACACTTAGATCACATTACTATATAACATTTCAAAAACATCTCATGGGATATATTTCAAGCCACCACAGATATAAGATGCCTAGCAAGTTGATACTTTTTTGGTTTTTACCCTATTTTTCTTCTCAAAGGCTCATTTAATAATTACATTTAATAATTATGTGTGCTATATTTCTTATTAATCAGAAATTTTTAAATGGGGCATTTAAATCTTCCTTGCTCAGAGGATTTCAGTTTATAGTACACAGGCCCATAAAATAGTAAATGTGCCAATAAAAAGCAGGCATGGCATAATTTCAGAATGAACAGTCCTACCCAAGAAAAGATAGCTAACAATTTTATACCCACACAAATGGGGAGTCATTTCACCACATACCAATGAAAACACAGGCTAGTATCATCTGGCATTCTGGGACAATAATTCTTTCATTTTACAAATAACAAATCTGGAAATCTGAGACAATGTCTTCACCTAGATTACCAAGTTTATCGCTGGCAGGGCTAGAACTAGAATCAAAGTCTTTTTTCCACCATGCCAGGTCACCTGCTAAAGTCTAGCTAAATATTCTGCCCAAAATTGAGAACAATGCCGTCTTAGTTCATTCGTTGTTGCTATAACAAAACACCTGAGGTTGGGTAGCTCATAAAGAAAAAGAGTTTATTTAGCTCACAGGTATGCAGGCTGGGAATTTCAAGGGGCATGGCACTGTCATCTGCTCGGCTTCTGGTAAGGGCTTTCCTGCTGTGTCTTAACATGGCAGAAGATCAAAGGGGAAGCAGACGGTGCAAAGAGGTCAAACACAAAGGGCATTCTCACTTTACAACAACCTGCTCTCTTGGGAACCAAACCATTCCCACTAGAACTAATGCAGTCTCCCAAGTCACTGGTATATCATTTTGGAAAAGTAATTTGGTTATCTTTATTCATTTACTTAACACATATTTACTGAATGGCCAATCTTTACCAAGTACTATTCTAGATTCTGGAAACACGACAATGAAAAAGACCGACAAGTCTTCTACCATTATATCCTAATGTGAGAAGAATATAAATAAGCAAGAATACAAGTATCATGTCAGAGAGTGACAAGGATGTTAAAAAGGAAATAAAACTGAAGGAAACAAACTAGAAGGGGTGCTATATTTTATGAGTGTCCAGGAAGCCATCTCCAAAAAATATGCAAGTTGAACACTGAGCTGAAAAAATGGCAGCCATAATGAGCTAGACAAACATTTCGGATAGGCAAAAGAACAAAAGCCCTGAGCTGGGACCAGGTCAGAACATTCAAGGAATAGAAAGAAAGCCAGTATGTGTGGAGCAGAGGGAACAAATACATGACAGTGTGTACTACAGGGGCCCAGTCACATACTCTTTAACCTAGCAATACCACCTCTAGGACTCTATCCAATAGCAGTAATAGTAAGTATGTGTAAAACCATGCACAGGCTGGTGGTGAAACCCCGTCTCTACTAAAAATACAAAAATTAGCTGGGCATGGTGGCAGGCGCCTGTAATCCCAGATACCCAGGAGGCTGAGGCAGGAGAATCGCTTGAACGGGCCAGGCGGAGGTTGCAGTGAGCTGAAATCACGCCATTGCACTCCAGTCTGGGTGACAGAGTGAGACTCTGTCTCAAAAAAAAAGAAGAAGAAAACAAAACTACACACAGAAGAATCTTAGTGCTAGGTAGTTTGTAAAAGGAAAACAACTGGAAAAACCAAATGTTGATCAACCAGTCTGTTGATCATTTGGAGAATGTTAAATAGATTATGGTATAACATATACTATTACAGTAAAAGAGTTAGATAATATATGCACTGACCTGGAAACATGTCCTAGAGGTATTATGTGAAAAAGCAAGCAGACTAATATATATGACATGATTCCATTTCTTAATGAGACTCATTAACTATGGTATTACAAATTTTAACCCCTAAGTCTGGTCCAGGATAAATACCACTTTGCTTCCCCCTGCTGCAAGCAAATGTCCTCTTGCACACTATCCTCCTACCTTTCTCTAATTCGTTCCCTGCCAGCATTTTGGCTTACCTCAACCAACTGTTTCTTTCTTTTCCTGGGGACATGAATAGCATCACGAAAATTTTAAGAGCACAGAGAAGAACATTTCCTTATAATTTCAAAACACATTAGGTTTGAAATAACTTCACAATGACTGAATCAGCTCTAATGATTTCAGAGTAGTCAGATGGCATCATAAACTTGATTTAAAAATTAAAAAAACACATTATGAGTAATTAAAGAAAACTAAATATTCAGTTGGCCACTATAATAGCAAAGATGAAAATTATGAATTATTCTTACCTCTACTTTTGTTCGATAGAGAACAAGTCGTTTAAGGCTGCATAACTTGGCAATGTGGTTGAAAGCTTGAGGTGGTAGCTTATCACAGGAGGAGAGATTTAAGGCTTGTAGATTTGGACACATCTCAGAAATAACTTCTAAGCAAGTTTCATTAAGAAAGTGGCTGCAAGACAATTCAAGGCGTACTAATTCAGATCCACAAACCTTCAGAAACCTGCAAGAACAACATTCCATGTGAATTTTATAAAACTAAAAGATATTTTTGCAAGAACTTTGCAATTTTAGCAACTCTAAGCAGATACATTTAAAAGGATAGATTTCTATTAGGGAAAATGTAAAATTTGTTTTGCTTAAATTCTTATTCACTGCATGCTGAAATATGAATGGTTAGGCTAAAAAAATCAACTTGAGAGGATAAAATGAATTCACATCATATAAAAAGTCAGCTAATGCTAAGTGGAAAATTAAGGAAGTAGAAGATGTATTTTCCCTACTTACCTATAATTCACATCTGAGTTGGTAAAGCCAAAAAAAAAAAAAAATCAAAACATAACAAAACTCTAAACTCTTGGGAGATATTTCCCCCTCAACAGTACCTATCCAGTACTGGATAATATATTTTGAACACTGCACATGAAAGTGACAACTTTAATTAAGTAACCTCAAAACAAATCAGACCAGGCTCCTCTCAACTCAGAAAATGTCTATGTGGGTTTAACTAGAGCACTGTTACGGTCCTTGCAGCTGTTACTCTTTAGCAGCTAGACTGCTTGATGTTGAAAATATTCAATTGCAGCTTCACATAAAATACATAGAAATAATCTAAGATGAAGGTCACAAAATGCTTTATCAGAGTAATTATCACAATATTTATCTCAGTTATATTATAGCTGGGGGAAAAATAGTCCTGTCCATGATCATCCCCTGAAAACAATCTAAAAGTAAACATGAATCTAGGAGTATTTGAATCCACGAAACTTTATCAACTAAGCAAACTGAACCCTCTTAACGGTGCACCAATTATGACTGTCCAGGTCTCTTGACATAATCTTCCCACCAGTGTCACATCAGTAATATACTGTTAGTCAATTTATGCCACGTCTTTTATTCCTAAATGATTTAATGAGCTTATAAGTACACATACAAAATAAAATTGACTAAATCAGATTAGTTGTGTAAATAAATCAAGTAACACTGGTTAAAAGATGTGGTTTTTTGCATTGTTCTACTAGTTCCTAGCAGAGACCTTGGAAAAGGCATTTACCCAAATCTTAGCATTTCCTCAGCTGTAAATGCAGACTTAAAGTATGTAACAACATTCACCACACTGCCTAGTGGAATTGAAGCTGAAATACTATGCAAATGCAGTTTTTAAAGGTCAAAGCACCCCATAAACATTAAGTATAAGTTAAATCTTGGCCAATTCACATTTAAACAATAAAAAAATTCAGTTGCTGCAAATTTAAATATTGTAAATAACCCAGTAGCCCGCACATCTTATTTACACCCGAACACCCGTTTATTCTAAATTCAAACTTGTATTATTTAATTTGTGACATTTCATACAACTGCACACTCCTTCCTTAAAACTCTGACACTCCTCACGTTAACTGCCTCTTTTGGATCTCCTCCAACTCCTCTCACTGCTGCTTCCTTTGCTAGTTGTATTAGCTAAACTGCAGTTCGCATGAAGCACATTCATTCATTCATTCATTCAACAAATATGCACTGAGCTTCTACTATCATCCAGGTAACAGTCTAGGCACTGGGGAGATAACAGTGGACAAAACAAAATCCCTGCTTTCATGAAGCTTACTAATGTTTTGAAGAGAGAAGGAGAAGATAACCAAATGCATAAAGTAGGTTGCAAATTCGCGAAAAGTGCCCAGGAGAAAATAAAAGCAGGGAAGCGCAACAGAAAGTGTCAAGGATGGACAGAGTAGTCAGAAAAGCTTCAGAGATGTGAAAAGCTTTAGAGTAAAACCCTGAAGGAAGCGAGAGGGTGACAAAGCAGGTATCTGGAGGAGGAGCATTCTAGGCAAAGGGAAGGGCAGTCCAGGGCAGGATAACAAGCAGAGTGAAGAACAGTGAGATGGGGGATACAGGAGGCACAAAATGATGGAGAGATGAGTAGATCAGAGATGAGGGACCGTTCACACAGTGTGTGTCACTATAAAGACTCTGGCTTTATACCAGAAAGCAAACTGTTAGCAGACAATAGGAAACTTCCCAAGTTGATTTCATGAATGATAGAATTTGAAAGCACAATGAGATAAAGTCTATACCTATACTACCTTTCTTTCTTTCTCTTTATCAAGAATCCTGTATTGCATATTTTTACTCTGAGCAGATTATTTGATTAATACCCTCATATTATCTCTACTTAAATTTTCAAAATGTATACTACCTACCTTTTCATATCTACATCCCAAGAGGGCAGAGACAGTAACAGACTCAATTAGCTGCACACAGCTCTTACTTCTTTCCTTAATGTTCCTCATGCAGGTTTTATTTTAATGCATAATTACATATATGTATTTATTCATCTCAACTGTGCCACTGATCATTTGAAAGGAGAACTCAGCTTGTTTATTGCCTGCAGTCAGTTCATTCTACATTGTGCTCATAAAGTATTTTCTTATACTGAAGATTTTATGAGAGGACCTAAGTTCATATAAACAATCCCAGACTAGTCTCCTGCTATGAGAAAAGGAATCTCTGGAGAGAAAAATAAATTGCTTATCATTATGAGGTGAATTAATTTGTCCAGAATAATACAAGTACATAAGAAGTAATTTACTAAATGGTAACTTGCACCCTAAAATAATTAAGATCACATGAATGAACGATTTGAGTCTACTTATCACAAAATAAAAGGTAATAGTCCTCAGAAATTGCCTGAAGTATAAAAAGAGAAGAATTAGATATAAAATATCTATGACTTCTGAATTCCTAATCTCATGGTTTTTAGCTGACCCTCACTAAGTTTTCTAAAACAGTAAATTCAAGATAATCTCAATCCCAAATAACTTGGAACATTACTTAACATAGCTGATCCAAAATAAAGCCATTAAAAACAAAACTTCTACTTAACTGTATAGGGGTAGTATCCAACAATGATAGAAAGAAGGGAAGACCGGGCGCGGTGGCTCATGCCTGTAATCCCAGCACTTTGGGAGGCCGAGACGGGCAGATCATGAGGTCAGGAGATCGAGACCATCCTGGCTAACACGGTGAAACCCTGTCTCTACTAAAAATAAAAAAAAAAAAAAAAAAATTAGCCGGGCACGGTGGCGGGCGCCTGTAATCCCAGCTACACAGGAGGCTGAGGCAGGAGAATGGCGTAAACCCAGGAAGCGGAGCTTGCAGTGAGTGGAGATCGCGCCACTGCATTCCAGCCTGGGCGACAGGGCCAGACTCCGTCTCAAAAAAAAAAAAAAAGAAAGAAGGGAAAAGAACATCTTAAAATGGTCCCTACTTTCTAGAGTTGACAATCTAAGACACAACTGTATAAAATATAGGCAGGCAACTGAATAAATATATTAGTGGAAAATAAGCTCTTCATACCATAAAACTTTAGCTCTATGTCAAAATACCTAATAAAGTTCTCAAATCTAGAAAGCATCCAAGAATGTTTCCTAAAGGAGTGAATATAAACTACTGAGAACAAGTAAGAGGGGTTTAGGGTAAAAACCCACACATAACTGAGGGGGAGACAAGGCTGTTCAGCAACTATTTGAAGAAAAATGGTAGGGAACAAATGAACCTAAGGCTTTTTGAACAGAATGATACAATTAAGTTCTAAAGCACAAACAGGCAGGCAGGCAAAGGAACATCTAAGACTTCAGGGAACCATATTAGAAAAGCGGAATTATAGTAGATGTGATTTTAATGAGTAATGATATGCATGAACAGTACTCAAAGTAGCAAATCACAAATCTGTAGCTAGATTAAGATTTTAATAACTGATTAAAAGTTTTAAGTTCTCTTTATTCCAATGTAACCTATTTCTCTGCTATGATGAATAATAAAAATTCCTAAAAAGTTATTGAAAATCCAGTTAAACAGTTCTGACTTGTGAGATAAGGTTTTTAAGCAACAAAAATAAACTGCATCAAACTTTTTCCCAAAGATTTGTTCAAAAAACAGCTCATCAACATTGGTCTCTAGTTTTTAAATGTGCTTTTCTTCTTTAAAATATTACAAATAAGTCTTCTTCATAGTAATGAGCATAAATAGACCATACTTATTCATAGATTACTCATTAATAATCAAGCCATGCATATTTATTGTTTATTCTGGGAATGCTGCCTACAAGCCATAGTAACTATCAATTCAGCAGTCAAGTCATGGGGGCCAACAGTAATCAGTAGGGAAAACTCCAACACGCCCCGCCCAAGAAAAGGTTCTCTCTCCCTCTTGCTTCAACTTTTTCTTTTCTTAATGGGAATAGTGACTACACTTAAAGGAATGCCATCAAGATTTATGATTTTACTGGCTGAAATACTACAGTAAAATATAAGAACTTAAATCTATATATGGCTTGTTCTGATTATTCAAACTGCTCTACAGCAACTACCCTGGATGAATTGAAAATGGACAATAAATTGTGGGTTAGAAGTAGATAGAAATTCTAACTTTGCAAAAGATCTTTATCCATTACTAGTATAAAAATTTTTTAAATGGCATAGCTAAGTTTTCTTCTTATAAGTGATGTTTCTTCTCATGTGCTAGAAGAAGCTACATAAAGAAACTTAAAAATTGATTAATATTAGCTTTATATTTTACTCATTATCACAGTCATATGCAGCACTTTGCCAGTGAAGCTGGACTTCAGCCATTCATGACCAATGTTTTCTTTAACGTCTACACTTAGTTACTACCCAGTTATTCTGTTTATAAAAATAAATAAGGGATATGCTTATATGCTTATCTTAATATCTTTATCTTCTCTGTAGCCTGAAGGCAGGAACTATATTATATATCTCATATGTCTCTGCATACGATCAACACCCACTGAAACTCCTTGCACACAAAGGGTGAAAACAAACATTTAATAAATTCTTAATAATGGAAAACATTGGGAAAGAGCTATGAGGGTGATTAAAATGCCCCAAAGGTCTATATAATGTAAAATAATGCTTACTGACACCACTTGTTCTATCTGTTCTCATATTCAGTTAGTCTTGGTTTATGATAATGTATGCTCTAAATATTCACAGTCTTCATTAGCTTCAGTTCTTTCTTAGTCCTATTAGCAGAGAAAAGAATTTGAAATGTGTGTGTTTGGTGCAAGGGGAAGTAGAAAGGACTAAACTCTGTTTCACTGGACAGCTGCCAAATATCTAGCAATGAACCCCTTCCCCTGGCTCAATTTCTGGCAGAAAAGAAACTCAGCGCATCCACGGTTTCAACACTTGCTACTGGCCATTACTGTTTGGTTTATTTTTCACTCTGATGCATAAACTATCAAGGTCAGTATTTGGAACACATTGTTACTATTTCAAACATCATTACTTCATTTAAATCTAACAATATCAAATCTTTATTTCTGGAACTGCATCTTTATTTTTACAATCTGAGTTAAGAGGAAACAAGGCTCTACATACGAATTTCTAATTCATAAACCAGTGCTCTAGAATGTATTCACTGGGGATATGTGTAGGGATTCCTATAGTTCATTTTTCGTCTTTAAAAATAGAATACAAGAGTATTCATTAATTAAAAATAACAGAAAATTTCTCTAAAGTTTCTACTCCTTCATTATTTAACTTCATGAAAATGCTGGGATTATATGTAACATACCATGAGAAAAACCATGATCAAGGTTAGGAGAAAAACTCCTGTTTGTATCCTAAGAAAAATGACTGTGGCATTACTAAATGAACATGCACTTGTGCAAGCTTTCAAATGCTTAACAGGTGACATTTAATAGTAAGGAAACGAAATGCTTAAATAGAAAGGAGCAGAAACACCTGGGCAGGTCTGCAAGTGTGGTCGCCTATTTAGCATGCAATTGCATTTTCAACATAATTAGTTTAAATGAGCTTCTAAATCTGGGTGATGTATTGCACATGTAATTAAGATTTAATTAAAAATGTTCTATAATAAATTGTTTTCCATTTCTGACAAATCACATTAGAGAGGTAGATTTTGATTTGGAAATAGTTTTTAAAATGTGTTAATCATCTGTGCTGAAAATATGAGAAAGACGAAACAGGAGCCCTGAAGTAAAGGGTATAGTTTCCCTTCATATTCATATAAAATTTAGCTGAAGAGGATAGTAAAACACTCATTTTTTATAAGCAGCAGCATTCTAAACATGACACTCAAAATTTATTTCCTTTTTATTTTTGTAAGGTACATGTTACATAATTTCAAACTTTTATTATGAAAACCACTACATAAGTATAGCCTGCTGCTGGGGAAAAAAACAAAAAACAAAAAAAACTTCATCAAGCCTTTGTACTAACCTGCTAAATCCTGCAACAGAGATGAAGCCTCTATTGCCAGTCCAAGATAAATTAAGCCACTGGACAAGAGTGCATCGAGACTGCAGAAATTCCAAAGAGGTGTCATCTAGTTTTGCCCAGTATGGTTGCAGATTGAGATGGATGTATTGTAGAGGATCACAGCAATGCTGGCTCAGTAGTTTGCAAGTCTGTGCTAATCTACACAGGTCTGGTAGTGTAAGATGATTCAGAATCAGTTGAATAAGCTAAATAAGACAGAGAAACCAAGATCATCAAGAATGAAAAGTAGTATCATTTTATGAAACATATAACATGATCTAATAAGGAATAAAATGTCATACATTTTATAACAATATTTTCATATAGTAAATAAAAACATTCAACGGAATTATCCAAAGAGAAGAAATCATGCATGCATTTGACTATAGTACATTTCGAGACTGTTCAAAGTATACTCAGCACATATTGCCTACTCATTTTCTTAGGTGCAAAGATACATTTTGGTAATCTATTGAATAATACAATTTGTCATACTCAACATCACTGAACAGCTACTACGTACCAGACACTGGGGACAGAAAAGAAAGAGTGCCCATTCTCAGAGTGCTTACAGTCCAGTGGGGATTGGTAAGGACAATGATACATTTTAATAGCTTTGACAAGAAGAAACACAGAATGCTACTAAAGCCTAGCAGGCCTAGCCCCAAAGTGAAAGTGTACCTGTGCCAGGAACACTCAGCTTTTTTTTTTTATGTATATATACTGTTAAGTTCTGGGGTACATGTACAGAATGTGCAGGTTTGTTACATAGGTATACACGTGCCACGGTGGTTTGCTGCACCCATCAGCCCATCACCTACAGTAGGTATTTCTCCTAATGTTATCCCTCCCCTAGCCCCCTACCCCCCAACAGGCCCCAGTGTGTGATGTTCCCCTCCCTGTGTCCAGGTGTTCTCATTGTTCACCTCCCACTTATGAGTGAGAACATGCAGTGCTTGGTTTTCTGTTCCTGTGTTAGTTTGCTGAGAATGATGGTTTCCAGCTTCATCCATGTCACTGCAAAGGACATGAACTCATCCTTCTTTATGGCTGCATAGTATTCCATGGTTCACATTTTCTTTATCCAGTCTATCAATGATGGACATTTGGGTTGGTTCCAAGTCTTTGCTATTGTGAACAGTGCTGCAATAAATATATGTGTGTATGTGTCCTTATAGTAGAATGATTTATAATCCTTTGGGTATATATCCAGTAATGGTATTTCTAGTTCTAGATCCTTGAGAAATTGCCACACTGTCTTCCACAATGGTTGACTAATTTACATTCCCACCAACAGTGTAAAGGCGTTCCTATTTCTCCACATCCTCTCCAGCATCTGTTGTTTCCTGACCTTTTAATGATCACCATTCTAACTAGCATGAGATGGTATCTCATTGTGATTTTGATTTGCATTTCTCTAATGACCAGTGATGATTAACATTTTTTCTTATGTTTGTTGGCTGCATAAATGTCTTCTTTTGAGCAGTGTCTGTTCATATTCCTTGCCCACTTTTCGATGGGGTTGTTTTTCTCTTGAAATTTGTTTAACTTCTTCTAGATTCTAGATATTAGCCCTTTGTCAGATGGATAGATTGCAAAAATTTTCTCCCATTCTGTAGGTTGCCTGATCACTCTGATGATAGTTTCTTATGCTGGAACATTCAGCTTTAACAAGTCAGGGGCAAACCAGGTGAAAAGAGAGTCTAGTGGTAAAGACTGTGTTATGAAAGCCTCACAGAGGAGCTTGGGTTTATCCTGAAAGCAATGAGTCGTCCTGAAGGGTTTTAAACTAGAGTGACATGTTCACATTTGTGTTTCAGAAAGAACATTGCGGGGGTGCTACTGGAAGCAAGGAGGCAGGAAGAGAAACCAGCCATGGGGCTAACACAGAATTCTAGGAAATAGGAAATAAGGGGTCTGCTTAAGGTAGCTGGCAGTGATGATGGAGTAGCAAACAGATACAAGAATTATTAAGAAGGCAGAATTCAAAACATTGCTTTCTCTAATTAAAATTACCTTATCGAATTACTGCAAGATTTATTTTTTCTTAACAGTTGGGGGCTTCTAGTTTCAAAGAACTACTGCTTAAATAGCCTATTCTGAACTAAAAACTATAAAGAAAAAGACACTAAATATTTGCTAAATGTTAAACAACTTATTTAGATGAGAGAGGGGTTTTTTTAATTTAATGTATTTATCTAGCTAAATTTTTTGTTTTGCAATTAACCTAAATGCTCTTCTTCAATTTATTTTGTTATCTAGGCTCAGTATTAATTTCAGGTCAGAATTTCACTGTTTTAAGTCAAAATATCACAAAACACAGAGTAACAACAATAGGATCTTTAAAATAAGTTTAAAGAGGATGTAGCCAGAATCTCCTTACTCCTGATGTTTCTTAGTAATTTTCTACCCAGTGACTCTCCAACCTGCTCCCTGGCTATTAATTCCCACTTGCCCATGCTGTTGAACCCAATCTCCCTCTCACACTGCAAAATCCCACTGTAGTGGTCCCTATACCTAGCACGATTGAGTAATTTTTCTTTAACAAATCTCATCATCCAGACACACCTGTTGATGTATAAAATATTACACGAACAAAAATCAACAATTTCAAGTAAAAAGTAAACCCAAACATTGAAGAAAGGTCTAAAATGAGAAGTTTCTGCCTCTCTACACTCAGTTCTAACCATCCCTCTCCCCAAAGATAAGCATTGTTAAGTTTTTCTGATCTCTTCCAAATAAATGTATATGAAATTGTGTTCTTGAATTTGCACTAAAACAATGATACTATATACACCATTCTGCAACTTGCTTTTCTCATTTAATGATATATCTTGTAGATCTTTCCATATCTGCACATACAGACCCACCTCCTTCCATTTCATAGAAGTGACATAATTCAACTAGTTTCTCATTGATGCATTTCCTGCTTTTTTTCCTATTGCATATAATACTGCAATATCATTGTGTGTATGTATTACGCATGTATGTTCATCTTGGCAAACTTTGAAAATATATCCTTATAGTAAATTACATGCATTTAAAAGTTTTGATGGAAGTGGAAAATTGCCATTCAGAATGTTCACATCAATTTATATATCCACAAAAATTGTATGAAAGTACCCTTTTGTGGCCGGGAGCAGTGGCTCACGCCTGTAATCCCAGCACTTTGGGAGGCCGAGATGGGCAGATCACGAGGTCAGGAGATCAAAACCATCCTGGCTAACACGGTGAAAAATTAACCAGGCATGGTGGCAGGTGCCTTTGGTCCCAGCTACACAGGAGGCTGAGGCAGGAGAATGGCGTGAACCCAGGAGTTGGAGTTTGCAGTGAGCCAAGATTGCGCCACTGCACTCCAGCCTGGGTGACAGAGCAAGACTCTGTCTCAAAAAAAAAAAAAAAAAAAAAGTACCCTTTTGCTTCTATCCTAGACAACACTGGTATCAAAACTTTTTTATTCCAAAAGGCAAAAAAGGAAGAAAAGATAAAAAACTGTTTTTATTTCTGTTTCTTTTTTTTTAATGACATAAATATAACAGCTTCCCAGAGGAGTTGTCAATACATTTCCCGCTATCCTCTTGGCCTGTTCCTGGACTCTATTCTGTTCCATTTATCTATATGTTATTTCTCCCATATCAACAGTCCTCCAAGTAAAATAACTAGGTTTTTTAAAGTGTATGTGTTGGAATGTCGTGGATTGTTTGGCTGCAAATGAGAATCAGGACTAATACCCCTCTATCACTCTTTTCCAGAATTTTCCTGAGTATTTTCATATTTTTAGGCAAACTTTTCAATTTAAAAAAATTCTGCTAGCATTTTAATTGGGACTTCATTGAATACACTAAGGAAAACTGATATTTTTACTTTATTATATTTTTCTACTCTAGGGCATGTTCTAATTTTTTAGCAAAAGTAAATTATCTGTAAAGTCTAAAGTATCTGTGACTCCCCTTGACTAATTTGGCTGTATACTGGACCACCCTGAAGACCACTGGCTGAAAGGATAAAATGCAAATCTCTTGGTGAAACCCAGACAGCCCTCTATGACGCAGCAGAATAGACTCCGCACTGCCAAAGACAGGGAGTCCCAATCACTGTCATCTATGTGCATGGAGCTGTGCACTGAGGCAGCCCTGAGCCTCCATCCAATTCCATCTCCTACAGTTTTCCCTATCAAATCCTATGTTTTGGCCACACTGAAATACTGGAGTTCCCAAACAAGTCACACAGTTTCACTTCTCATCTTTGTATCTTCTCTTCCCTTTGCCTAAAGTGTCCTCTGGCCTTCATTCAAATTCTATGGGTCAAGCATTTTATCAGGTCTGGAAAAAATTCAATAAACTGTTTAAGATGTATTTGCTGAAATTAAACTTCTATTTTACAGTTTTTGCAAGTGGGTAAGAATCAAAGCAGTGATTCACTCTACTCCAGATGAACTGCTCCCACTGCTGCCACAACAGACCCTCCTCAGAGCCCTGAGGAGCAACACTGTCAGTATCTCATGCTCCTCTCTCCCCACAAACCCAGCTTTTCCTTCATCTTTCCTCCCTCCTCCCAGTAAAGGCCAGTCTTGTCCAATCTGTGAAGCTTCCTTTCCATCACATGAGGTCTGGGTGGGACCCTGGTCCCATGGCTTAAAGACCAAATTACCTTGGACACTTAAATTCATCTTTATGTGGCAACTTTAGCTACTTCACAGGACGTGCCATGGCATTTTAACTGTAATATGTTGGAGAGGCATTATAGCTACTATTACTCTAACACATTCAAGAGGCTATCTTATTGTTTCATGAAAGTTAAGCTATTTGTGTTATTTCCATGAAATCTGAAATACCCATCAATTTGGAAGAGGGATATCTCAGTTGGTTAAAATTTGAGTCTATAAAGTTTTCTTAAAAAGAAAACTGATTATACATTTTTAGCCACACAGTAGTTTTCAGTGGGAGACAGAAATGCTTGGCCCTACTCTCACCCCTAGGAATATTTCGAAACTGGTGGGGAGAGGTTTTGGTATCACATGGTCCTGGAATGCTACTAGCATTTGACATCGGGACCCTGGGATGCTAAATATACCTCAGAAACACCCCAGTAGGGACACACTGAAAACAAGACTTCAGACTAGACACATAAAAAAGTATTAATAATTCCAGGCCGGGCGCGGTGGCTCACGCCTGTAATCCCAGCACCCTGGGAAGCCGAGGCAGGCGGATCACGAGGTCAGGAGATCGAGACCATCCTGGCTAACATGGTGAAACCCTGTCTCTGCTAAAAATACAAAAATTAGCTGGGCATGGTTGCGGGTGCCTGTAGTCCCAGCTACTTGGGAGACTGAGGCAGGAGAATGGCGTGAACCCAGGAGGCAGAGGTTGCAGTGAGCTGAGATTATGGCACTGCACTCCAGCCTGTGCAACAGAGTGAGACTCCATCTCAAAAAAAAAAAAAAAAGTATTAATAATTCCAAGGTAAAAGCACTACCTGCCTAGACCAAAAATTACAGTTAGGAGAATACAGAATAGAGTTAGTATAGGAAAAAAAAAAAATGACACTTAGAGAAACTATGGATTAAATTATGGATTAAATAGAATAAGCATTCATCTCACAATCTTAATATTCTTATTTTTAATAGCAAATCATCTTTAACATAACTAATACAAAGTTATGCATGTATTGCCCATACTTAAACTGTGTAATATGAATTAAAGTGGATTGTTACTTATTACTGATTTTTGTATTTGGTTATTATTAGCAATATGAAAATACACACTTAATAGTTTATCCAGGAACACTAAAGCCAAACCAAAACAAAAGCAGTGAAATTAGTTAAAACATGATTTTGTCTAGTTTTTCCAAAATCAAAATATACAACACATCAAATTACATATACCTTACCAATGCTCAATTGCCAATGCTCAGTAAACATTAATATCTAAAGACTAAAAATCTATAGTGTTTTATCCAATACTGCTGCTAAATATTTTTGGCTTACCTCATAAGGTAGTTTATCAAAATATCCATTATTTGGCCCTTCCCTGAGGACAGCACTGCTAAACTTTTTGTTAAGATTGTCCATTCCACAACCATCCTTTTCTTCATAGGCATCATCATCTATATCATTCATGTCAATAAGTGAAGTCTTGAGAGAAAGCACTGGCTTGTCCTTCACACCATGTAGCACAACTGCATCTAATTCAGTGTAATAATCCAGAAGAGAACTATTTACTTCCAGTCGTATAAGATTTGTGGGAAAATTTATCTGCTTAATACAAGGTTTAAACTGGCGAGCTTGGGAAGCATTCAACTTCGTAGGTCTCTCTGACCAAAGAATCTCCCATCTGCCAAAAAAAGAAACTTCCCTATAATACAGTTTAGAATGAGATCTACTGGTCCCTTAAGGTTATAGCCCCATGCCCAATATGTCACAGTGTGAAACAAAGTCATCAAAATAAACAGAATCCAATATAAGTATTGTTCCCAAGATATAAAGACTTTAAAAAACCAAATGCCACAGACCTTATTATGTAATTTATTTTTATAAGTCCCCAAACAGTCCTTTTTTTATAGATTTCACATTGGTCAGTTTAAAAACCGGAACATGTAGTTAGACGTAGCTGAACAACATTCCATTTTACAAGATAAGTAAACTCAAAGTAAGAATAAAACACATGAAGATGAAGCTCTCCTGTGTACATAGCTTAAACCAACCGCAAAAACTAAACTGATCATTTTGCTTCACAAAGGTCTCCTACTTCAGCCTTTCCATTTCTGTCACTAGCCTCATATAAACGCAAAATTTTCATATTATCTTTTTCTCTTTATTTTATCAAATCATGAAGTTTCATCAAATGTTTCAAGAAAGTGTTTCTTATATATGCCCTTCTCCTGAATTTCCATTTTTGCCATCTTTAAGTTATCCTTATATCCTTAGTATCTAGCAAATATCTAAACACATAAAAGGGGAATAACATTCTCCTATTTCTCCAAATGAACTCCTGCTTCCCAGCCAGATTAATCATTATTTTCCATGCAATAAACTTATTTCCACCTTTATGTCTTTGCTCGTGTTATCTTCCTCCCCATGAAATGCCCAACCTACTATTATCTGCCTATCTATTCTTCAAGGCCTAACTTATATTCCGTCTCCATATAAGTCTTCTTATAGAACTATTTTCCAAAATTAAAGATTCTTCATAATCATAGTATCATCAGGTACTTAATATACTTATATGTCAGTTAACTATTTCTCTAATATTGTTTCTAATAGAGAAGAGAAAATTAGAAACATTTAAAAAATACTTCAATTATCATCCTTCCTCTATTCTTAATTATTTACTGTGGCTAGTAAAATTTTTTAATAAAGATTTTACATCAAAGAATAAGAATATTTTTAAGTTTCTCAATATACACTACAAACTGCTTTCAAAAAAGCTTATGCCAATAGTACATAAGAATGATCACTGAAAGCATTAAAAATAATCTCTAGTTTGATTGTGAGCCATATCTCCTAATGATGTAATTTGTAATTCACTGATTACTAATAACACTTAATTTTTTTATATACTCATTAATTACATGAGATTTTTTCCACCAATAAATTGTTCGTTTATTTTCCTAGCCCAATGACCTACTGAGATCTAAGTAAAAACTGATAATGGCAAAGCATAGAGGAAACTGAGAAAAAAAAAAAAAAGAATTTGAAATTCAAGGAAGAAATCAGAGCCAAAACTATAGAAGCCATCAACATATAGGTACTCCAACTGTTTTAGGCCCAAGAAGGGACCAAGAAAAGCATATAGCCACAATCTTGGAAGAATAGAGAGGGAAGTATGGCAATTTCCACCTCCAGGAATAAAAGCAAGCTCCAGAGGAATTCTAATAAACATATCACGAAGGGAATCAGGAACCACAGAAGAGGGAACTTTAACAGTAGGGACTTTTATTGAAGTTTCTAGAATGTTTAAAATCCCATACTTGTTATTTTTGCTAATTCTCTCCTGAAATGTAGGAATAAAATCCATCAAACATAAATAGCCTGTGAGTACTTGTATTCAGAGGCAACAATAAAGTAGCAATGGAGAAATTAGTTACAATCTATAACCAATCTTGCAAGGCAGGGAAAGAGTTCCAAAGAATAGAGCAGGCTGTGGCAGGTTTAATGAGGAAAGAGAAGCAGGTGGGTAATTTCTTCCAGTGACAAGGCAGAAAAATAAACCTGGCGTGCCAACCTGAACCTAAGAAGTGTCCCTAGAGATTAGCTTGTAAAATCAAAGGTTCCTAACAAAGGAATTGATTTGAATAACTCTAATGTAAATATATGCAGTAAAACAGAGCTAGTCATATAGGTGCTGGGGAACAGAAGCTGAAATATCTAAAACAATACTGGTGAGAAAATTCAAATTTTGGTCTTACTCTTTCGTCACTACTGCAAATTGACACCAGACAATGCTGGAGGAACATCTCCAAGAAACAAGGACCCCTCAAGACCCTATGAAATAACCACCTATACTGGTTTACAGCACATGTGAACCAAACCAACCTTTTTGTTTAGTTTCAATGGGGAGTTTTGTGAGGCCTAAGAAAAACACTGAAAATATAATATAGAAATAACGTCTGCCAAGTGCTTAGCAATAAATAAATATGCACACAATACAGGTCTTCATGTATAATTTGAAATGCATTATAATGTAAATCAAATTAAAAAATTATAAATATAAGTATAAAGATATTGATTAGAACATAAATATTCCATTTTAATAATGCATTAATCTACAAAACTCCTCTCTAGCTACGTTGCAGAACATGCAAAATAGACAGGGTTGAGATGATGCTTTAAACTGACTTCCTTAACATTTCTAGCATGTTTAAACTTATTAGGATTAATATTATTTTAGCATCATTCTTGCTTCTGACTTCTATATAGCATGAAGATTATTTAGTTACACATATATCAGAAGCTGCAAAAATTATACCTAAAGTAGAATATCAGGATCGTACCTGTCTTTAGAAAGATTTAAAAATATGTCTAAATATTAAAAATTTGTAAGTAAATCATTAGTTTTTATATTTTACTTTTATTTTTCTTGATAATCGAAAAAGCAACAAGAAAAAAAAGACAAAAATTATTTCTAGGTCTGTGGACACTTGAATTAATATTAACTATGAGACCAATACAAATAGATTTTCTGCTATCTGCATTAAAGTTTTTGTTTAAAATTCCCCAACAGAGCTAAAATGTATCATTTCAAAGTTAAAAAGAGAAAGGTATCTATCTTACCCAACAAGAGAATATTCAAATTTCTTTTTATTCTGGAAAACTAAAGCCAGAATAAAAACTAGTCAGTGACAACAAGAAAACAAACATAAACATATGCACATGTACACAGGGGTACACACACATACACACGCACAAACACACACACATTCTGGAGAAAGCCCAACTCTTTTAATTCTCTAGCCCCAGGGCAGAGTTGATATGATTAAACTCCTTTAGGTCATGGCCTCTGTAATATGTACATTTACATGTTTAGTATTATGCTCACACACTGTATTTATCTACTGGACAAATCTGACAAACTCTAATGTACTCTTTAAGTATTTTAAATCTCGAGTATCACATGTGCAAATTTCAGCCTGGAATGTCTTTGAGACTAGGCTTACAGTCTGCATCTGGAGCATTCAATTCTGGGATGGTAACCAGCACAGCCCATTTAATGTTCTTTCTGTTGATTGTACTGGATGACTACTATGTGTCCAGTGCTCAGAAACAATAAACCATTCTCTCTATGACTGTTGACTTGCTATTATACCACTGAGAAACATTCTCCAGGGCAACCAGGAAGCAGTGGGTAGATGAGAGGAAGAGAGATGTTTCATTAACGGAAATCAAAGAAAGCAAGTTTTCTAACCTGTATTGAGGCTTGAAGCCAGGCAGATGAGGCTTGAAGCCAGGCAGATGAGTACATAAAGCTTCCCTGCAACCAAAATTTATCCTAGCCAGTTAGTATATCTAGTAGCCAGCAAAGAAAGTTATCTTGCCAACCCTGTTCCATTTCACTAGCTGAAAGTAAAGGAATAGTATAGGAAAACAGAAATAAAAGTAAAAAGTATTCTGACAGGTGTATCTATTCACTCCCTGCCTCCCAGACCATTTCTAATTGGAAACTAATAAACTAGCATGTACTTAAAAAAAAAAAAAAAATTAACTAGCGAAGAGCTCAGTCAATTCTGAGTTAAATGACAAAATCATGTTTCTTGGCCCACAGAGTCGAAAGGACCAGGTCATGACAAATTTGTGAAATCGTTACTTAACTCAATTTGGTAGCAAATTCTATGAAAGCCTCTTTTTTTCTCCCTGCTTTCTTAATTTCAATATTATATAGTTGGAGTGCTTTGTACACTGAAAAAAAATTCCACATCATTAAATTTCATTCCCAAATAACTTTATTCCAATTGGTTTCTTTAATCTGACCTCTATTTGTCATCTTTCTCTTCCCCTTTTCCTTGTCTCTCTCTTCCAAATGGTAACCCTGAGCTAGCCTACTTTCTGAGTCTTACATAGACATCCATTAAGATATTATTCACAGGACTAGGGCACTCTAAAACCTGCAACCTCCACCTTCTGGTTTCAAGCGATTCTCCTGCCTCAGTCTCCCGAGTAGCTGGAATTACAGGCGCCCACCACCATGCCTGGCTAATTTTTGTATTTTTAGTAGAGATGGGGTTTCACTATTTTGGCCAGGCTGGTCTCGAACTCCTGACCTTGTGACCCACCCACCTGGGCCTCCCAAAGTGCTGGGATTACAGGCGTGAGCCACTATGCCTGGCCTTTTCCTTTTCCTCTTAATAAGGTATTAAGCAAGAAATGAAAAGACTTTAAGATCTGGTAGAACTGCCTGTAACTTTTCCACTTCATTTACTGAACAAAGAAATGCAATCACATGAAATAGGAAAAGACTGGTTTTAAATTTTAAATGTTCTGGGACTAAAATTTCCTGCAAATTCCTGAGCTACTCCAACACACTCTTGTTTGTTAACTTCTAAGGGGGGGATATAAAATTAAAATAATAGGCAGTGCAGCCCAGTGGTTCCCAAACAGTAGTACAAGATGGAGTTTTCCATCACTAAGTGTGAGAATGCACATTTAGTATGCACCTATCACACATATATGTTCTTATAAAATTGAAAAAAATCTTTATTCAAGATTCTAATCATGCTAATTTCTTGGTATAAACTGAGTTGCTTAAGTAATCATTTCACAAATTTGTCATGATCTGGTCCTTTCGACTTTGTTGGCGAAGAAACATGATTTTGTCCTTTAACTCGGAATTGACCAAGCTCATCACTGGTTAATTTTTTTTTAAAACAGATGCATAAACTTTTATGAAATGATGGTGATGATAGATAAAATTGGTATTTTGTCTTTTCACTGTACATTAATTTAGCACAGTAAATAATCCAACAAGTCTATGAGTTCCCTAATGTTTATGATCATTATTATGTTACTAGTTTATTGTGACTGACTCCTCCCACTTGAACTCCATTCACCTGCACACCCCCCATCTCATCAGTTCTATGTGCCACCCTGCAGATAGGCTTGCTTTGCTCCTAAGGGTTTACACCTACAACCTTCTTCACAAAACTACCTTGGGCTTCATCTAGGGAGTGACATGTGCCTGGAAGACTGACAGTCCCCATTCCCACCCTTCCAGCCCATGGTCGAAGTCTGGTTGGTGCAGGAGTACGAGAGCCCAGCTCTCTAGCAACTTTGCCTCCCAGCAGACTGAGACTTCACATGATATTGCATCCTTGCTTGACTTTTTCCCATCGTGCTTCCTCTACTCCCTTACTAGCTTCTCCCACAGTTTTTGCATAATAAATTGCAAAGGAATAGTCGCCTCAAGATATTCTTCTGGGAAGCTGGATCCAAAATTCTATAAAATCCAAAAGTCTAGAAACCACTAGTTTAAATCTTAAGAATGTCACTCCCATGTCTGCATTTGCCAATAGCTTATTCACTGCATTCTTGGACTTTTCTCACTTCTTCAAACACCATGATCTTAGCTCACGATCTCACCTTCAAATGTGCTGTCGTTTCTCCTCCTTTCCTATCCACACTGGGGCCTCACTCAACTCTCAGGTTGCAGGTAAGTCACTTTCCCAGGGAAGCCTTCTCTGAGCCCATAGATTAGGTTCTCCCCTCTGCCAATACATGTTCTGTATGGTCCTCTTCTAGGCTGGCCTGTAAGCTCAAAAAACAGCCATCTCTGTCTGACTCTCTACTTGGTTCCTAGCAGTAAACTAGCAGAGAGGGTGTTCAATAAATGTTTCTGATTGTATAAAAAAATTCACCCAAATGTTAACAGTTACTGAATTTGGGCAGAAGAATTACAGATTTTTTTCATATATATTTTCCTTTTTTTTGTATTTTCTAGCTTCTTTTTAAACAATGAAACAGCTATTGATTTCATAATCAGTAAAATTTAAAAAGGCTTTTCATATACCTTAATAATATATTGGTCACCTTTTTTTCTCTTAAAATGTAATGATATTTTCAGTAGACTAAAGCTGAAAATCAGTAAAGAAAATCAGAGATACATGTATAAATAAAGTTTTAACTTTAATACAATCACACACCAGTAACTCTCAGTAACCCAAGAGCATGATTTATACTTAAAATTAGTTATACAGTTGTTAAGTTTTACACTGGAGAAAACACATTACATGTTCCATTGATCTCATCCCTAAATCTTTTCAGATTCTTGGAAAAAAGTGGATAACTTTGTAAGAAGAATGACAGAGTCCTAATAAAACAATTCTCATGTAAGAAAAGATCCTGCCATGCACGGTGGCTCATGTCTGTAATCCCAGCATTTTGGGAGGCCGAGGCGGGCGGATCACCTGAGGTCAAGAGTTTGAGATCAGCCTGCCCAACATGGTGAAACCCCATCTCTACTAAAACTATAAAAATTAGCCAGGCATGGTGGCATGTACCTGTAATCCCAGCTACTCAGGCGGCTGAGGCAGGAGAATCTTGTGAACCCAGGAGGCAGAGGTTGCAGTGAGCCGAGACCATGCCACTGTACTCTAGCCTGGGCAACAGAGAGAGAGACCCTGTCTCAAAACAAAACAAAACAAAAGATCCTACCCCAGTAATACTTTTTTTTTCTTCTTAAGGAGAAAAAAAAATCTGATTTTAATTAAAGTATGCTGGCTTTCTGAGATTAAAAAATGACTAATAACATTATTTGCAATGAATTATTAGGTAGTTCTGGGGAAAAAAAAGTAAAGATTATACCAGCAATCTTCAAGTTGAGCTGTACTCTGTATGCTTTCTGGCAGGCCCTGGAAGTGATCCCTTAGAGATGAGGGGACAGAGACATCAGAGGAGCAGCATGTTACAGAGGTAGCAGCTGACCCCTGCCCACCTCCTCCTGCACTGGCAGCTGGCCATCCTACAGCTGAACAGGCGCCCTGATCTGCTCTCAGGCTAGAATAAGCTCCTGAGAGCAGGGATTTTTATTTACTTTGTTCATTGCTCACTGACACATCTCTAATACCTAGAACAACACCTAGCACATGGTAGACACTAAAATATTTAATGAATGAGTGATTTAATAAAGTGATATAAAGTCCTAGGAACTGCTAAGATTCATAAGTAATAGAAAAAATCAGCAAATAATATGATCAGATAGTTAAAGGAAAAAGAAATATAAATGGTTTTTAAACATATGAAAAGATTTCAACCTCAGAGATAATAAAAGAATTTTAACAGTTAACATGAGATAACATTTTTCACCTATTAAATTGCAAAAATATTGAAATTTATTAACATACTCTGTAGGCGAGGCTTTGGCAAAACACTCATGTACATGCCCTGCTAGTGGGAATATAAATAGTACAGACCCTTTGGAGAGGAATTTGGCATTATATATCAAAATTACAACTGTTAAAAATTAAAATTAAATGTAATTAAAAATAAATTGTTAAAATGCAAAAACAAATGTTAAACATTACAAAATTATCAAATTATCCTTGGTTGAGTAA